AGGAAGACAAAATCAAGTTGAGATTTGAATAGAATAATGGTTTTCAGTTGTTTGGAAAAGGGTTCTTTTGAAAGGATTTTTAAATAATTTTTTTAAAAATACAATTATTTCTTACTGGCATTCCAAAACTGGATATGAGCAAGTTGAGTTCTCTTGTTCTAACAATATGTAGAATGCTGGCGTTATTCTATATGTGGTCTTTGTGGCTTGTGAGGAGCAGTTAAGGTAGAGTCCAGCTTTCTAACCTGGGCACTTAGGCAGAGAGTAGTAGCTTTTCCTGATAAAATAAATTGTACAGAAAGATTGGGTTAGCTCTGAGCTTAATGACCAAGAGGCATGTTTTCAACATAAGAAACAGTGTTAGAAAGCATATAAAGTAAAAAATGAATGTTCCTGCCCAGAGTAACAATATGATATGATGTGAGGGTAGAAGAGGGCTAAAGTGGATCTAGCAAACACACTAATGAGGAATGTATGGGTATGACAAAATAAACAGGATTAAAAATGAAGAGAGGAGAGTTGTGGACAGTGTCAAAGGCCTGTGTGAATCTCCTGAATTTCATGATTGAAAGTACAGAGTGACCTTCACTTCACATTTAGTGTTAACAATAAAAACAAGCTTTGTTGTAGCTGTTTTAAGAATGAAAGATTGAGGTACCTGGATAGAAACTGTGTGCTGTTTTTCAAGGAATTTACCTTCTAATGAAATTTGAGGGAAATAGAATTATAGGGAGTTTTTGTTTGCTGTTAATTTTTGTTCTAAAGTAGAAGGGTCTATTCTAGCTTGTGGCAAAAAGAGCCAGTGGAGAAGTTGAGAGTACAATTTGAAAGAGCTTTAGGGATATCCCCAAGGACACCAGTGAAGGTATTAATCTTAAACAGATGCACTTCTTCCTCTGACAGTAAAAGAAGAGATGAGGGTAGGTGGAGGAGGTGTATTCAGTCATAGGTTTGAAAGTGAGGATTTCAGGAGGTTCAAGGTCACATTTTCCTTGCAAAGCTGGGCAGTAGACTAAATGGAAAAGTAGTGAAAGTCTTGAAGGAAATCAAGATCTATTTTAAAGTGTACTTGGAGGAATCATATCAGTAATCTTTGAAACACCAACACCGTGGTAGCTATCAGAGGCCCCCCAAAATCTGATTAAATATTACAAAATAAAACTTCATAATGACTGCTTCAAATTTGACTTCTGATTTTAGTTAATATTAGTCATAATGAACTAGTTTAGAGGTAATATTTTTTGGTACCTTACCATTGTAAAAAACTCTCTAGCTGGGTGCCATGGAGCACACCTGCAATCCCAGCAACTCAGGAGGCTGAGGCAGGAGGATCTCAAGTTCAAAGCCAGCCTCAGTAATTTTGCAAAGCCCTAAGTCACTCAGTGAGACCCATCTCTAAATAAAATATAAAAAGGGACTGGAAATGTGGCTTAATGGTAAAGTGTCCCTGAGTTCAATCCTGGGTACTCCCCCCCCAAAAAAAAAAGTCTCTAATAGTTCCTTCCCAGTCTCTCACTTCTCTTCTCACTTCTCTGTCCCAGTTTATAAAGAAAACATCTGAAGGTCTTGAGATCATGTTTCTTAAGATACTAAGGACTGCTCATTTATTGGCTTTACTAACCTAGAAATCATAGCAACATAACCTTCTGTTAGAATTTATATTCTGAGAATGTAAAAAAAATACTAGCCTTCAAATACTTTGAATATTAGTTTACTTCAAGCTTTCTGTTTAACTTCTTTTTCAAAACTGGGATTTTAATTTTTATAACAGATAATTTGCAAAAATAATTTGCAGTAAACATTTCCTGAATATTATTGGGTTATTTTTGCCTCCAGAACTGTCTTCAGATTAAAATATTAACCTGCATTATTGTATAGATTTGGTGGAAAAATTTGACAGCTGTATGGGCAAAGAGTTGAACTTGTGAATTTAGCATGTAAACAGCATCAGAATATTCAGATATAACTTAAAACCAATTTGAGGAGTCTTCAAAGCTTAAAAATTATTATGAACAATTCTATTTGTAGTGAAGGTATCATACAATCTAAAGTTAGCTAAAATGATTAGACTTGTATGTATATATGGAAATGAGTGTTATATCTCTCCCAAAAGTTTTCAATTTTAACTAATGATTAAAAGAGAAACTTTCCTTAGCTTATTTAGTCTTTTGCATTCAGTTTTATGTTTGGGACAGTGAGGTTCTTAAAATTAAAATGAACCCACTTCTAGAGAATTAATGTTTGCATATTTTGCATAAAGCTGCCTATGCTCTAAAAGAGTAGGCAAAACAGTTTTGTAATTAACTTGGGAGAAGTTCTAGGTGATTTTTTTCTTTTTACCTATCATGAATTTTATTCAAGTTTTATGCTTTAAGTGTTCTTCAATATGGAGGTACTAAACTGACTTTGGCAGACTGTGGTTTTTGCATGAAGCAAGCAGAAAAATGTGTTGTGAAAAGAGGGTAGATCAGTATAGGGTAGACTATCTTAGCCAACCTTTCTGTTGTTGTAAAATTATTAAGCAATTCTTTTCCACAGCATATATTTCAAAAATAGATGTTGCTTCACTCTATCTAATGGTTATTATTATTTTTCTTCCTCTAAATGAAGTGATAAATATATGGAAGCTAGCTTTAAAAACACTTTGAGTTCTAATTTCAAATGACTAATACTAACAATAATAACAGTTTTTGCAAACCTTGAAAATTGCCTTGTCTGCTCTATTGTGTTACTATACACCACTTAATGGAAATTTGAATAACCTCTAAAGAAAGGTGTCAAGAAATAACAGAATTATATTTTTAAAAAACTCCACAAGAACATGTAATTATAATTATCTTTGCAAACAACATTTTATTTAAAAAGAGTGATAAGTTTTTCTGTTTGAGCAGAGTGGCATTCAGTACACTCTTCAAGCTTTGCTGTTGTTTTTTGTTTTGTTTTGTTTCAGTGCACATAAATTGTGCACATAAATTTCTAAAGAGGATGACTAAAAGTCATTGTAGGTACTGTGTGTGTGTGTTTGTGTGTATCCATGACCATACAGAGATACAAACACAAATTCATATCTCCAGCATACACCTGTTAATTTACAACAGATCTTAAAATACATTGTTTGGCATGTAGGAAAATCATTTTCAAGAAACTGACAAAAGGAATGAATATATAGTTAAATGATAAATGTGTCCTTTTTGTATATAGTACTTACATTTAAAATTATAGAATTCTGATTTATTGCATCACCATATTAAATTAAATATCCTAATTCTCTTACTTTTAGATGATGTTAATAATAATAATTAAATTTATATAGCACTTTATATTTACTTTAAGTTTGGGGGAGGGTTTGGTTTAGGTTTTTTTGTTTGTTTTTGTTTTTTACATTTCTTCAGATCAAACCCAGAGCTTTGTTCATGCTAGGCAAGCACTCTACCACTGAGCCATACCTTCAGTCCTATTTAACCTATTTCTTACTTAATGTTATTTAGTGTTTTATGGTTAACATGTAAATATCACTTTATAATACCAGATGTTCATATGTATTGGCACATTCCCATTAACTCATAGATATTATTTTTATAATCTCCATTTAAAGATGGATAAGGAAGCTCAAAGATATTGGTTTTGTTTTTATTTTAGATACAATTAATATAAATAATCAACTTAATTTGGTTAGTGTTTGATAATGGAGTCTGAGAATTTTTAAAGCTGGACAGTATTTTAGCACTGATGTGATATTTGACCCCTTTTGACTACTTTGAAAAATAGTTTTGTGTTTTATTAAATGTCATCATAATCATTTAGGTACTTTAGAATTGTGTTAGTGCATGTTCTTAATTGATTTTTTACTGAATCTGCTAAAATTCTTTGCTCCAAGAGAAAAAGTTAATCTAAGATATAGCATTACTATTTGAGAGAAAGAAAGCATTTACAAATATGCAAATAATGAGTCAGATAAATTGCTTATAACCCCAACCCAGAACTATCTTATTTAAAACCCCAAATACTGATGCAGAAGTCCACTCTGTGATTTTTATTATTTAAACCAAAGTAAATAAATAAATAAAAAGAAAAGGAACTATTTTTATATATTAATATTTATATCATAATTTATAATTTTAGCTTTCTTAATTCACCAATTACATATGTGCAGTGAACTAAAATATTATATTGTTCCAATTTTTTTTAAAAAATCACATTTTATCATGATTCATAGTAATAATTTTAAAAAATTGCTGACTTATTAATAACGAACTAAGGGCTTGCTTTTTTCCTGAAATTCATTCTAGTTTACAATATAAATGTCTTCATAAACACTTCAAACTTTTTTAGTGAACGATTATTTTTTTACAGTAGCTATAATACATGTTTCATTCCTGTGAGATGTTTGTACTGACAGTCATAATAAGTTTTACCTTTTGTGTAAAACCTTACATTTACTTCAGAAATTTTGCTTAATATTATTTCTAAAGTCATGCTGTTTTTAAACAGAATAACTGTTTCACAGAATAACTTTCTCAAGTTAAGTTACAGCTGTGTTATCTGTGTCACCCTGATTTATATAAATGCTAGTCTTACAGGTGTTTTCTCTACAGTCTCTAAAAAGGAAGTACCTGCTATTTCACTAAAATGCTAGAGAAATATGGATATGAAACATTTTACACTTTTGATTAAAAGCATTTAAGGATTTATTATATTTTTTGCATGGATTAAGACTACTCTTTTTTATTAATGATGTTAATTTCATAATAAGCAAACTTTAGTAAGATTTATTTACTTTAATATAGTTAACTTTCATCATCACTGTATACCTTTCTTGATAAAAACTATTTTGTTTTTTGTTTTGTAAACTTTAAAAACTAACTATATAAATCATTACCATTTCTTTTAACCCATCATATGTTCTGATTTGGCTAGTAAGCAAATATTTCACATCTAGTTTTTGCATAAGTAACCCAGAAAATCATGCTGTAGTTTCTGATTTGCATTTTCTATTGCAGGTCAACAAAAATCTCTCATTTACTTCACCACCACCAGCCTCCTCACAACAGTCTAAGTTAAAACAGTCAAACATGCTGTCCGCTCATGAGATTCTACATCAGTTTGGTTTCACTCAAACCGGTGAGCCCCTTTCTTACTTTGACTATTATTTTAAGTGTTCAGATGTTATTTTTAAAATGAATTTACATATTTCTCTTCCAGAAACAAAATAGCATTTTAATGGTCAGTTTCACAGTTGATAAATTCTATTCAATCATCTTTTTTTCCTTGAAATCACAGAAATTATTTCAAAGTAAATTTAGATTTGCTAACTTGAACAGTAGCTATTCTGAACCTATATTCTGTTAAACAGATAGTAACTTAAAGGTGAAGAAATACGAGTTTTAAACATATAATTCTAAATTTAAGTCAGTGTCCCAGCTGTATAAAGAAACCATGGTTTATTTTTCATCTTAAGTAAAGTCAATATAGAATGAATGCACTTTGGAAGAAATAGGATGCAACCTGCAGAGAGATCACATCCCCTAAAAGTTGGCAAATTAATAAAATATGCAAAAAAGCTTGTTTCAGAAATCTACATGAATTACTGAGTTGATATGAACTATTCAATTGTAAATTTTTAGGCTAATGTTCAAATTTAAATAAGGTTTTCAGAGGATATCAAAGAAAAACTTATAAGTAAGAAAAGTTTATTTTTGCATTGAAAAATTACTTTTTCTCTTTGTTAGCTATATATTTCTTTTTAATATTTATTTATTTATTTTTAGTCACACATAATACCTTTATTTTGTTTATTGATTTGTATGTGGTGCTGAGGATCGAACCCAGGGCCTTGCACATGCTAGGCAAGCACTCTACTGCTGAGCCACAACCCCAGCCCTATTGGCTATATATTTCTAACAGCAATTTTCCTATTACTGAATTCTTTAAGAAATGTGAAATAACTGAAAATTACAAAACAATTAATTTTTAACAAAAAGATTAAAAAGAAATTTGAGTTTGAAAAGATCAGCATGATTTTCTTAGAAGTTCAGAGATACTATCATTTTCAACCTTGAAAGTATTTTGGAATTTACATGTACAAATTATTTTAAGTTTGCTGTATAAGTTATATACTATAATGAAAAAATATTTGGATTCAGAAGGCTTACAGTAGTGCTGGTTGTCTTTTATAATATCTGTGAACCCAAGACTCTTCATTTGAAAACTGATAATGGTGTTCAGATGACATATCTGAAAACACTTATGTAAACATAAGGCACTATATAAGTATAAATGTTAACATTGTAAACATGGTGAATATGTGTAAGCTAGGTTTGAAAAAACTTTACTTCTAAATTCAGATCACTATAGTAATTAACCATTATCTCAAACCTCAAAAATTTCAATTTATCTTGTTTCAGATATCTAACAGAAGTTAAAGCAATAGTGCTGATCATTGATATTTACATTGGCAGGTGCACCATATACTATATGCTCCTTTAGACTTAGTCTTTGCACCCTAAATACATAGATGGTTTTCCTTTATAACTTGTCCTTTTCATGACTAGGAGGGAGCTTTCCATCTTTGTGCTTAGGTCAGAATTTCTGGGAACAAACTTTTCAGTCCACATTTCTGGATTAAAGGCTTAGAAGATAAATGTCAGTTGTTAAATAAAGACAAATGTTAACATATTATTTAAAATTTATTTAAATAGTGTCTTCTGTCTTGTCAGCCAACATTGTGTAGATAATGAATATAAAGTACTTTTATTTTTTGTGAAGAGGAAGAGCAGAAGGATAGATAGGAAAGCCTTTGAAATGTTAAGAGGGATTATCACTAAAACAGATAAAGAATAGAGATGAAGAACAGAGGAACAGCTGGATATGATAAGGGCAAGCCTTGCAAACTTCACATACATAGAAGTGGCTCAATTTCCCTGTAGATCCCATGGCCGTGCAGGCCACAAGTGGGATATCTACATCCTGGATGTCTGTCCACATGTGCACTATCTCAGAGGTATTCTCATTTAGCCATGCAATGCATGGTTACATGGCCATACCAAAATCAGTTGCTAACCTCACTATAAGGCATATCCTTCCTAGAAAGTTTATTAAGATGGAAAAATGATAAAAGGAGAATATGTGGTCTATATGGAAAAATGATAAAAGCAGAATGATCGATTGCAAAATGGCCAAGTTCTTCATTTTATTCATTAAAAAGCCAGTCTCTGTGAAAGATATTCTGTGCAGGGAACTAGGTAGACTAGTTTCTAGACCTGGCCCTATTTCTAAATGACTGTAGAATCTTGAGCAGTATTTTACAGGTTTCAGTTTTCTTGTCCCCTACAAGTGAAGACTTTTGATTAGATTTCTTTCTTTAAAATTATGTGATTTTATTCAGTGTTCAAATAAGTTTTTAAATAAGTGTTCTTGATTTTACAAATCTATTAGAATCCAAAATACAGGACTACAAAACAAATAATATGGATATAGTGTTTTAAAATCTCAACTGAAAACCTATCTGAAATATATAGGTCATACAATGTTTGTCTTTGTAAAGTATAGGGAAAATCTGTTCACACAGAGCTAATATATATGATCCTGCTTACAATCATGTGAAGAGATTTATGAACAGGATTGGATCTTTTTTATATATAAATTACATATAGGTGAGTTTACTTGCTGGATGTCTCAACTGCAATATGGGCTTTTATGTTCAGCTAAACATATATTGACCTTATTAATTCAAGGTAAGGTCTAGGTAATGAGGACTGTTAGAAAGCAGTCTTTCCTCATTGGTTTATTTTCCTCAATTTCTAGAATACTGCCTTATTTGTTATAAAATCATTTTAAGAATCTACTTTGTTTTATGTCCTCTGTCAAAGATATGGAATAAATATTACAATCTCTGCATTCAAGAAGCTTTTGATTGGGTTGAGGAAAAAAATGAGTAGGCAACAAACTAAGTCACTGTGATATAAACAATGAAATCACAGACCATTAGAGTATCACAGCAATAAAGAGAGAGAAGAGTTAACAGATTTTTTCAAACTACATATCCAAATAGACCTCTTGATTCTCCATCTCCAAAACCCTGCCTTCTACCTCAACTTCCTCTGCTACACCTCAGGTCTTCGTAATCCCAGTGCTTCATACCACATTGATTCAATTGTTTAGGGAAACTTAGAGCCATAATTGAGTCTGTCTTTTCCCTCCACTTCCTACTTGTCTATGGAGTTCAGTTGTTTGATCTGTCCTACTGCAGTGATCTGTATCCTTTGCATTCACCCTAAATAAAATTTTTTGTTACCATACTTTAATGAATAGTGTGTGTGTGTGTGTGTGTGTGTGTGTGTTTTAATAACTTGACATGGCTAGGTAATGGTTTGTTTAGCTGGAAATGGTGGAATGGATGCTTAGGGAAAACTGGGTCTGCAAAGGTAGACTGGGGCCAAATTGTGCTAAGCCTAGGAATTCACATTTTACTCAACTAGAAGAGTTATCCAAGGTATGAATATGAAATATGATAAAATATGCTTTTAATTCATTGACATTTTAATTCTGTCAAACCAGTACCACATACCAAAACTAGATAAGGACATGTCCAGGAAAGAAGACTATAGATTAATATTCCTGATGAACTTAGATACAAAAATACTTAGTATTAGCAAATCATGTTCAACAACATATTCAGATTATACACCATGACTGAGTTGTTTTTTTTCTAGAGATGCAAGACTGGGTTTCATATATGCAAATCAATAAATGTAATTCATCACATAAATAAAATTAAGGACAAAGATAACTTAATCATCTCAATAGATGCAGAGAAGGCCTTTGACAAAATTCAGTATGCATTCATGATAAAAATACTAAAGAAACTAGGAATAGAAGAAACATACCTCAAAGTCATAAAGGTTATATGTGAAAAACCCAGAGCCAGCTTCATTGTAAATGAGAGGAAAACTGAAAGCATTTCCTTGAAAAATCTGTAATAAGACAGGATGTCCTCACATCACTTCTATTTAAGATAGTGCTAGAATTTATAGTTAGAGTAATTAGGCAAAGAGGGAAATAAAGGGGATTTAAAATAGGAAAGGTAGAAGTCAAATTATCACTGTTTGAAAATGATATGAGCCTATACTTAAAACATCCAAAAAATTCCACCAAAACACTGCTAGAGCTAAGAAATAAATTCAGCAAAATAGCAGGTTATAAAATCAACATACAAAAATCAGTAGCTTTTAGGGCTGGGGATGTGGCTCAAGCGGTGGCGTGCTTGCCTGGCATGCGTGAGGCCCGGGTTCGATCCTCAGCACCACATACAAACAAAGATGTTGTGTCTGCAGAAAAAGTAAAATAAATATTAAAATTCTCTCTCTCTCTCTCTCTCTCTCTCTCAAAAAAAAAATCAATAGCTTTCCTATATACTAATAATGAATCTACTGAGAAAAAAATCAGGAAAGCAATTCCATTACAATAGCATTGAAAAATACAATAAAATACCTAGAAGTAAATCTAACTAACAAGGTGAAAGACCTCTATGATGAAAACTGTAGAATATTGAAGAAATTGAAGATGATCTCAGAAGATGGAAACACCTTCCATGTTCATGAATAGGCAAAACTGATATTGTTAAAATGGATACAAAAGCAATTTGCAGATTCCATGCAATTCCCATCAAATTACCAGTGATATTCTTTACAGACTAGGAAAAAAACCAGTCCTAAAATTTATTTGGAAGAATAAAAGACCCACAATAGCCAATGAAATTCTAAGCCCCGCCCCAAACAAAAACAATGCTGGAAGCATCACAATATCTAACTTCAAATTATATTACAGAGCTATAATTAAAAAAACTGCATGGCATAATAACTGACATAAAAACCAATGGAACTGGGGATGTGGCTCAAGCGGTAGCTCGCTCGCCTGGCATGCGTGCGGCCCGGGTTCAATCCTCAGCACCACTTATAAACAAAGATGTTGTCCGCCGAAAACTAAAAAAAATAAATAAATATTAAAAAATTCTCTCTCACTGATGGAACAGAATAGAAGACACAGGACAAACCCACACATCTACAGTCTTCTGATTCCTTTTTTTAAAAAATATTTTTGTTTTAGTTCCCAGTGGAACTTTA